AAAGTACAATAAAAAAAATTATTTCCTCAGTTGCATTATCCACTTCTCAATGCCACATGTGCCCAGTGGCTACTGTACTGCAAAGTGCAGTTCTGGAACATTTCTGTCATCAAGAAAGTTCCAGAAAGCTCTATTGCACAGCACTGATCTATAAATTCTCTGGTTTCATTTATTTAAGTACTTCTCATCCTCCCTTGCTCCCGGACACACAGATTATTAGATCCTTTGCCGCCGCCTCCTTTTGTAAGAGGCTGCCAAGACCAGGAGGCCCATTATAAAGCAGGCAATTTCACCTGCTCCTGAGGTTATTTTCCTGGGAGCAGCACTGATTCTTCTTCTGTCCTCCCTGCTTTGCACAGCTATGTTTTTACAACCCATAATGTGTGTTGGGAGTGATGAAAGGTAAGTAGCTTGTCTACTAGAAAGATGGAATGATAGCAGCAGAGGATGTACATGAGGTGTATACTGGTGACAGGGTTGTACTTTTCTTTCCTTTTTGAAGTTTGCATAGGATCTTGACATTAATTACTTCAAAAAATGTAAATTACCTTGGTTTAGAGAGAGAAATGGAATGTAAGTCAGTCATTCAATCTTGTGCATCTGTGAAGCAACCTGTACTTATTTTGGGTTATTACCCCCTCATTCCAAGATCAGATATACTTTATTACTTTACAGACAAGGAACAGTGAGGACGGAGAAGGAGGCTGACCAGATGAGAGCCCCTGAAATCATGGCCAATAGTGCCTACTTCAGGGAGGTGCTCACCTGGAGGCCTTCTCGATTTTTAAAAGCCAATTAGAAATTTCTTGTGACTTTGATTAGTTGGTGTTTTCCATTATCTTCCAGATCAGAAAAGCAACACAGCAACTTATCAGTCCCTCAATAAACGTGAGCACCTGGACAATGGCACTTGTCTTATCAGTAAAGAGGGACTGCTGTAGGGACAATGATAAACAGCCAGCTGAGATTTTAGAGTTGAATTTCTCAATCTGCTGTGGGACCTTTCTCAAAGCTGCTGTCATTTTTCCAAGCCTTCCTCCTCTGTCCACTTCAGAAGGCCTCTGGATCCATTTGCGTCCTGGGAGGTAAGAAGACGAGGCAGATACTCAGGCATTTGAGGGCAGGGCCCCCAGTCAGCAAGAATAAAACCCACCACGCAGGGCACCACTGTGGGCTCATTAGCTCTTACAAACAGGTTTAATGTGATATCAGAAAATGCTTAACATTTCTTTTTAATACCATTCTATGGACTTTGTTCTTTAAAAGCATGTGACTGTGTCTGCCAGGTGGATTTAAAAGGAAAGCTCATTTCAGCGTATGTTTAATGCATCTAGCACATGGCAACATTTGAGGTGGCAGGACTGACTAGGCGCTCCTTGTGGGGAGCAGGGCAGGCTGAATGGTCAGAGGAGGCTGCAGAGGCAGCGGGTTCACATCCTGGGGTTGGGAGAAACTTATGGCTTGACACACTTCTGCTCAAGGAAGTGGGGAGAGGAAGAAGGTGGGGTGCTACTTGCAATTCTCAGTCTTCTCCTATGGCAGTTGATTAAGATTCAGCCAACTAAGTTTTAAAAATAATGTTAGATCACATTTAAACTACCAAATACTAAATAATGAATACTTTGTCATTACTGGGAGCCCTGGTGGCTCAGTGGTTAAAGTGCTTGGCTGCTAACTGAAAGGTCAGTGGTTCAAGCCCACCAACTGCTCCGTGGAAGAAAGATTTATCTGGCAGTCTGCTTCCATAAAGACTACAGTCTTAGGAACCCTATGGGGCAGTTCTACTCCGTCCTGTAGGTTTGCTATGAGTCAGAAGCAACTTGATGGCAGTGGGTTTGGTTTGTCATCATTGAGTATATTGATGTTGGAAAACATGACTTTTCAATTTATCAAATTCAGTATAGTTCTGAAGAACTATTGCACCAAAGCTTTCTTCATTCATTTACCCACATGGTAAAAATACTAAAAATAAAAGCATGTCCTCATTTTCTAAAACTGGTGACTGTGTTGGCTGAAGTGTCAGTATTTTCATTTATAATTCTAGTACTATGAGTTTGGGGCACGATTCTTTCACCTTAAAAGGCTGTTTACAACCTTAATAAAGTCATGGCACTCAGAACTCCCTATCGATGCCTGTGAAGATCACAGGATTGGGCAGTGCAGTTTTGGGACATTTCCATCATCACAAAAAGTTCCAGAAAGTTCTACCGCACTGTGATAGAACGGTAGCCTCCCGATGGTTGCAGCCGCCACGACCGAAGAAGAGCTATCGAAAAACAAAACAGACAAGCAAACAACAACAAAGCACGGACTCTGATCAGGGCTTAAATCTAACTGCTAATTTATCGGAAATACAGGAGACATGGGAATGCGGTGAAGAACACCATGTGGACGCAATCAGTAAGATCCAGACAGCCCACAGGACAAACACCCTGCTCTTCTATACAATAAGCCACAAGGGAACAGGCAGAAGGGGAGACCTGCACATGTCATTCTTTTGAAAATACTTTCTGGAGTCACTTGGAATGATAAATACGCAAACAATACATCGTGCAGTGGGTGTATCTATAAACAGAAGCTGGACAAAGACATTTTTGAATGATATTTCAAACACTTGCATTTCCTGGACCAAAATGAGGCAGGACTGCATCCCAAAATTCCTTAAGGCTCATGCTACAGGGCAGAGCACGTTTTCAGAAGAGCACCCAGTTCATGCAAGCATGAGGCTCCACGTGTGCACCATTCGCAGCTGAACAAAGGCCCCAACACCCAGCTGCCTGGTGGGGCAGGGCTGTCGAGCCACATACCCCACTGGAAAGTAGGGCAATGGCTGATGTGTGCATTACAGAAAGCACCCCATGGTAACTGAAAAATAAAAAACCTAACAAAAGTGGCACGGGCTTAACTGTACCAACTGCATGTGCACTATCATAGCCCCCTGGTGACTTTCTGTAAGGAGGTGGCACGGCTGCCTGGCGGGCTTTGGGTCCAGCCTGGTGTAACCATTCTGCAGCCTTGGGCGCCTTGCTCAGCTGCACATCCTCCAGCTGAGCGTCCAGTCCATGTTCTCACCATCTGACTGTCACCTCCTATCACCCTTCCAATTCGCTCCACTCCAGCAATTTCTCTTCACTTCATTGTCCTTCATCCACCGACACCCTCGCCTGCGTCCTCTCCCAGCTGGATCCCGTGGCCTAGGACATCACAACCTGCCCTCACAAACACCCTGTACTTGCTCCCCCCTTCTCCCTTACCAGTGTCAGCGCCTCGGTTAACCCCAACCACTTAACTACTTCTTGTCTGAACCCAAGCAGTGAATGTTGCTGGAGAAAAGCACATAAGCACACTGACTGGTTTCACTTTAAATCATGACCCGATGTCTTAAAGGGCATTCAGTGTCACACCACACCCTACTCCGCTTCTGTAGTGTGCCCTTTCTCACTCTCAAAATGCCTATTTGACAGCTTCTTCTCTCTTCAGGCTTGCTCACCCGTCTGCCCACCCCCAACAGCTGATGATCTGACTTCAGCACCTAGAACATGGAAGTTGTCAAACAGAACTCCCTGGTCTGCGGCCAGCCCTGCTGCACCCAGGCCCATGCCCTAGGCCTTCTCGCCTGTCCCAGTGGCTGCTGTCCCTGCTCCTGGCTAGGACGGGCTCCCCCTGTGCTCCGGACCCCTTCTTGACATCTAACTCTCTCCTTTTTCTCCATCATTTTTTCTTTATTGTATAATCTATACTGAAAAAATAAACTAAAGAGAAGAAGAAACCTACACCTTGACACCACATCGTCCTGTAACTATCACCCCTAGTCACGCCAGGCCTGCTCCCTCCTCAGGCTTCTTAAACTCTCTGTCACTCCATCTGGCAAACTCCTCTCCTTGGTCCCTACATGGCTGCTGCTTGTCATTCAGGTCACCTCTTCAGAGAAGTCCACTGTTGTACACACTGTGATGTGTCCAACACACTCCCCTTCAGGGGGAGCTACTGGTAGGCAGCCTCCGCCCTTGGTGCACTTCCCTTGCCTGAAATCAAGACCGCTCTAAGGCCCATCCTGCTGCTGAGCTCCTGTCTCTGGTGGGGCTGGCGGAGGCCCCTGTGGTGACTACATCCCACCAGCCTCTCCCGTCTGCCAGGGTTACTTCCTTCCTTCGTTTGCTTTCACCAGTGTTGGTCCCAAGGGTGTGCCCTAGCAAGCACCCTGCACACTAATCTCAGTCTGTGTCTCAGCACCCAATCTGTGCCATCCACCTGGTGTTACCCCATCCTCTACCACCTCAACTTGTTTTGGTTCCATGCATAGCTTTTATCATTGATGTTTGGGTCTGTTTATTTTTAATGTCTGTTTCCTCTCACTAGAATACACCGTAACTCCCAAGGGAGGTAGGAGCTTGTCCTGTTTGTCTTTGTGTCTCCAGAGCCCAGGACAGAGCCTGGCACTAAGCAGCCCTCCACGCACAGTCACGGGAGGAAAGAAGGAGGCCCCTCCCAGTCTGGGTCCTCTCCTGTCCTCCTTACGGGCCATTCAAGGACGAAAGAGCATACAGGCAGCACTCACAAGGCTCCTGGTGCAAGTTAATGCTTTCCAAGCAACCTGAAGATTAAGCTCCCACTTTTAACCTTAAGCCTTCCTTCAGAAAACAATGTGAAACTGGAAGCAAGTGCAGAAAAGGTGATTAAATTATCAAAGGGCTTCAGCCATGACTAAAAGCAAGGAGAGATTAAAACCCAGATAAAAACCCAATGAAATCAGGCAAACTATGGATTTACTATGTGTAAACAGCCATTTGCAAGATAAAATGAGAACAAAAGAAGGACTAAAGTTGAGGTAGAGGCTGTGTGACAAAGAAGAGTATGTGCAGTAACTACTGAGCAGATGCCCCCTGCAGGAACATCACCTTCACGCTGGTGGCAAAATAAAGCTGTCAAGGTGGGAATAATCTGGATTTGGGGTGTGAGCGAGTCATGCACATGAAATGTGGCCCCGCAGCTTTACTCACAGGAGGTAGGACTTCTGGTTTGGACGTTGGAGCTTTAAAGGTAGAAGTGTTTTTGGAAATCTCTGCTCTCTTATCTGCAGCTGCTCCTGTGGACACACATTCTAAATAATCTGGTGGGGGAATGACAACACTACTTTTCTCAGATAAGTTCACCGTGCTGATGCTTCTCACAGGTGCAGGACTAAAAAGACAAATTACAGAATACAAGTTAGATAAGATCCTGCCGTCCATATCCCAATCATCCTAAATAGCCTATGACCAAGAACCATACAAGAATAATAATAATGAAAGGGGTGAGGAAGGAGGGGACTGCAGCACACACACACACTCACATGCACGCGATGCCTACAGCACCGCAATGTTTTTACTTCTGTATAAATGTAACTGCAAAGAAATTCTTTAAAGTCATGACAAAAGAAAAGCTGAAGGAAACTGGCTTGATTAGTAGCTGGCTCTCGATCTGTTTAATCTAAGGAAATCAATTTAAAACAAAACAAAACAAAACAAAAGACTACAGCAAACCCTTAGCAAGTATTAAGCACTTAAGATTAAAAACCATCAGCATTTTACTTTCTTACAAACATCAGTCATTTTTTGGCACAGTGTCATTCTAGCTGTTGGGCTGTTTTACGAGGGATGACGACATGCAGGCGGACTCGAGGCACTGCGGAGGAACCGTGGACAGGATGGAGGAGGTGTCCTGTGCGGGTGACCCGGGGTCTGGCCTGGACATCTCAGTTCCCTTTTAAAATGGGGACCCATCTCAGACTGTGAGAATTAAATGAGCTAGTGAATGGATAGCACTTGCATGGGCTCTACAAGTGATAACTGTTACTACAATCTGGACTGAAATACGCTTTGGGGGTTGTCTGCACACAGGTGCAAACTGAAGCCCAGAGGTGTAATTCAAGTCATGGGAGGAGGTAAGATGGCCCAGGACGTACAGAAAAGGAAGAGGACTGAGGGGGGAACCACAAGGAACACCAGTGTCCTTGGGATGGGCAGCAGAAGAGCCCGCAAAGGTGACTGCAAAGGGACTGCTGGTGAAGTGGAAGGAAAATACAGAGTCCAAGGTAGGACACCAAGGCAGGAGAACATTCCAGAAAGAGTGTTCAACAGCATTAAAGGCTGCTGCTAAGTAAAGACAGGAAATGTGTGCACAGGATTTAGTAACCAGAGGTGGTGGATGACAGGGGGAGTGGGTTCCAAGGGCTGAGAGGAGACAGGTGATCTGAGTCTCCCCATCGTAGATAGTAACGCCCGTGGACAACAGAAATTACAAAGGAAATAAAGCGGAACAGCAACCTCTTTGCTACCATCCCACAGATCTGAGGTTTCTCTGTGAAACTGGCCACACTGTCTAGAGTATAATTCTGATACGCCTGGAAATACCCTGCTGCTGGGGAATATGAGCCACACTCAGGTTTTACCTTGGCGTGGGCACAGCCACTGCTTCCATTGCATTTTCTTCCAGCAACTTTGTGTATGACGATGGGAACCAACCTCTCCTGCAGGTGAGGAGCAAGACAAAGAGACCTGTTGTGGTATGAGTAGCAGACAACCGAACAGCAGACATGCTGAGGAGTGACTCGGTGACAGCACAGGTGCAGATGGGCCCATGCGGGCATGGAGGCCCATGTGTGGACCGAGTGGATTAAGGCTTGTAAAAACATATACTTTGCTGCTTAGCCTGGTTACAGTAGGCTTGTATGCCAGCCCGTGGCTGAAATGGCAAGGATGGTATTTACTATTCATAAGTTAAATCTTAACAAAGTATGTCTGAAATACAGATTATTCTTGAGAAATAAAGTCACATGCTTTTAATAAACAAAACAATAGGTAAACCTAATTACTTTCAGAGGTGATTTCATGGAATGTAATAATCTGTTCAAGCACCAGATATATGCATACACATACAGAAAACAGCCTGAGATAGAATAAAAAAAACAAACCCATTGCCGTCAAGTTGATTCTGATTCATAGCGAACCTATAGGACAGAGTAGAACTGTCTCATAGGGTTTCCAAGGAGCAGGTGGCAGATTCAAACTGCCGACCTTTTGGTCAGCAGCTGTAGCCTTAACCACTGTGCCACCAGGGCTCCACTAGATAGAACATTCCAGTTAATTCTAACTCTAAATAAGCTGTCAGCCTAACTCTGGCTAAGTGACTGACATGAAAGGCCCACCCTAGATGGTGTCCACATAGCGACTTACACCTTGGTGGTGTCGTGCTCCCCGTAAAGCCAGCCGTCCTTCTCCTCGGGGATGAGCAGCGTGATGACATCTCCCTGTGCAAAGCTAAGCAGGGTCTTGTTGCTGCCAGCAGTGTGCGGAAAAATGGTTTTCACTTTCTGCTTTTTCATCAGGTTCAGTCCAGTTGCAACAGACACTGATCGCTGTAAACTGGGATCCTCGGAAGAATCTGTTAAAAAAAATGAACACAGCATTAATGGCTATTCAAAAAATGGTAGTCAAGAGGCAAGTTCAAAAGGGCAAAATCCAGAAAATCACCCATTCCCATCTCGCCTGCACTCATTCTACCGAAATGCCAATGGAGTTATATTGCCTGAAATGGGCAGGGGCTGCAAGGAAGCAGAACCATGGCCTGAGGTCTTTCAAAGCCCTTAAGGAAGGTTCTCTCAGGGTAAAGGTTCTTTTCCAGAGTATTTGACTGATCTATGTATTCTGAATTCAGATTTGATCACGGCTGCTCTCTTTGGAGAGGCAAACTGCCCCAACACCAAATGGTCTTGAGCTTTTCCTTAAACTGCTCTCTCAATCTGAATCACAAAGGCAGGCTAAGGCAACAACTCAAACTCACCTGTCACTGACCTATACCACAAAGACAAGGAAGAAACTGGAAATGTTACAGTTCTCGCCACCACACGTGCTCAACTTCTAACTGTGAGCGCAGTAAGGATATGGTGACCATGACAGCACATTTACTGTGCCCTCATTAAGTGCCAGTCAGTGATCTCCAGGCTGTACAACTATTAGCTCACCTGTTCTTCACAGCAACCCTCTGAGAGCACTGTTACGTCCACATCAACAGATGAGGAAACTGAGCCCTGCAGAGGCCAGTGACTCGCCCAGGATCATGGAGCTAGCAAGTGGTGGAGCTGGGAGCCACAGGAGGGCAGCCTAGGTCCGCAGCCTACCCTCGTAAGCACTGGGCAGCATGTTCCATGTTACAACTCAAACACAGGCTGATAACTTACCACTCCAAAAAAAAACCTGTATTTTTGTCTTTTTAGATATTTTTTTCCCCACTCAAATTCTGCTAACCTAGTAACGCATCTGGCATATTTACTTGAAAACAATGCCAGATCTCTCTCTCTGCTTTATTCTTGCAAATTTTATATATCCGCTAAACAAAGACAGGGGTCACACCCCACTACACAGATTTCGAGGGTCCTGGGTGCCAAAGACTCTGCAGGAAGAGTGGAGTCTAACCAAAGAAGCTGTCTCAAATATCTGCCAACAATCACTGGTCTCAATTTGTTGAAATATACGTAGCCAACAGTTAAGACATTTAAGCAGATGTTACTGTCTTACAATAAACATAGACCTTCATTTGTTTTGGGATATAAGTTCCTCAAAGCTAACAATGAACATAAGCTACCATATATGTTTGTTTAACTCTACCTCATGGCACATCTATCCAAAATATGCCCAACATTTACTTTAAAAAAATTAAAAAACTATGAAATAAAATCAAACCAAATCTCTTACCTGTTGAATTATTTATCCTTTCTGAATTCTGTGCAACTGTTGCTGGGTTATTAAACATATCAATCAGAGGACTAGTATAGGCTTTGGTTGAAGGAGCTGGGGGCATCTTTGGCAACTGTTTAGAAAGGGTGTCATAATCTTTCCCAACCTGTGAACAATTCTTTATTAGTCTAATATTTAGTGTATAACACAGCAAATGAATTATACAGCTTCCTAGGGTTGTTCTGCATTACACACTTTAAACTCAACCTGCTTCCCAAAGTTCTCTTAGTTGAAGGGCAATGACCCATTCTGAATTATTTCAAGAGTACTGCACAATTTTTTTTTTCATTGTCTTAAAAAAAAAAAAAGTTCAACTTCTTTTTAATAGCTATATATATGACAACATGCATATTTCATAATTCACAGACCTATTTCCTTACTGACTGCATTCCAGTTGTTTTCAGTGCTTTTTATTGCCAATTGGCCAATAAATCTCATTGTCTGTCATTACATACTGATACCTTTATTTCTATAGAAGAGATTCCTAAAAAGTAGAACTGAAGGAATATGTGTATTTTAATTTTTAAGAGGTTTTGCCAGATAATTTTCCAAAAAGGTTGCTGCAATTTACATCCCACTAATAATGTATAAAAGTGGCTGTTTCTCCACATTCTTCCCAGCTTTTGTGTTCTGTTTCATTTTTAATGGATGGCACACAGTCTAATGTACATTGTACAGTAATACAAACACTTGGACTTGTATCTCTCAAACACAAGGGAGGCACAAGCTCCTTTCATATGTTCCCTGTCCATCTGCACTCTTTCTTTGTGAATTGCTTGTTCATATCCTTTATGTGGTGTCATGGATTGAACTGTGTCCTCCAAAAATATCTGTCAACTTGGCTGGGTCATGATTCCCAGTATTGTATGATTGTAGCATTTTGCCATCTCATGTGATTTCCCTATGTGTTGTAAATGCTATCACTATGATGTAATAAGATAGATTAGTGGCAATTATACTGATGAGGTCTACAAGATTAGGTAGTGTTTTAAGCCAATCTCTTTTGAGATATAAAAGAGAGAAGTGAGCAGAGAGACATGGGAACCTCGTACCACCAAAAAGCAGCGCCGGGAGCAGAGCGTGTCCTTTAGACCTAAGCTTCCTGCGCTGAGATGCTCCCAGACCAAGGGAAGACTGATGCATCACAACGACCTTCCTTTCGACAGAGAGAGAAAGCCTTCTCCTGGAGCTGATGCCCTGAATTTGGACTTGCAGCCTACTAGACTGTGAGAAAATAAATTTCTCTTTGTTAAAGGCATCCGCTTGTGGTATTTCTATTATAGCAGCACTAGATGACTAAGACACATGGGTTTTAAATTGGGTTGTCATTTCCAATTTGCACGCATCAATTATAGAAGCTCTCTGTCACATATATTTTAAATTCAGTAAATGATGCACGCCAGGCACTATTCTAAGCATCAGTGAGGAAAAGGGCTGGATTGCCCTGCGCCCAGGGAGCTGGCTTCTGGGTTCCTCATCTTGATTAGGTAGTAAATTCTCCCACACCTCAAGAGGTTACCAATTTCATTCTAAATTTTCTTCTAAATTTTTATTTTTATATGGAGTATAAGACACGTGTCTTTTTTGTTTTCCAGATGAGTAGCTAATGATGCCAGCACCGCTCATTAAATAAGCTATCTTTTTCCCACTTAATTGAAATGCCAACCTATAAACATTCTTCATATGTGAAGTTTAAATATATATTTGAATCTATTATGTGGATGCTACTCTGCCCCAGTAGAGTATTTATTAGAAAATAAATTTTAATATCTAGTAGTTGGCTCACTTACCTACTTTTTAGTTTTCTTGGAAAATTTAGGTATTTTTCTTCTAAACAAATTTTATTTAATTCCAAGAAATTCTAATTGGGATTCTGATTAGAACTGCATTAAGTTTATATGCTCACAATAAAAAGACAGACATGTTTATGACATCCAGCTTTCCCATTCCCACTCTTGGCGTCTCTTGGCTCTGAGCGCCCAGCTCCCAGGGGCTCTCCGTTCTCTGCAGCAGGCTCGCACTGCCTGTGTTTGGGCCGAGTGTCCTTATTCCCTGACTCCCACATATTGGTTCTGCCTTTCTCCCTCATCTTGCTGTGCTGTGACGGGTCTACTGTGTAGCTGGTCGGCTGGCCTTTCATCTCCCTGCTGTCCTTTCAGGGGGTTTTTACATTAAGGTAGGGTGGACCCCTGTGTTCACACTACAAGCTGCACCCAAATCTCCACGTGTGTCTGTGATAAGAACAAAGCCCAAGTCCAAAGACCAGCAAACTAAAATGCTCCAATTCACTAACTAGAATACTTTGGTGACTATTTTTTCCCCCAAGTGTCTTACACTGTGATGACTGGCATTAGACTTTTGCTACTCTATTCTCTAAGACAGCTTCATTGGAAAAAAGTTTTAAAGTTTGAATCATCGCAATTAAGAATAGTCACAATAAATTTTCCAAAACAAAGATACAATGCTAAACATAGTATAAGGCATTTGTACCACTAATTCCAAATCTGAACGTGAAGGGATTGGGGTGAGAAAAGATGGGCCCTAGAAGAAATAACAAGGAACCCTGGTGGCGCAACTGTTAAGAACTTGGCTGCTAATGGAAAGGCTAGTGGTTCGAACCCACCTAGTGGCTCTGCAGAAGAAAGACCCAGCGATCTGCCCCTGTTAAGATTATAGCCAAGAAAACCCTATGGGGGTAGTTCTACTCCGTCATGTGGGGTCGCTATGAGTCGGAATCAACTCGGCGACACCTAACAACAACAAAAGAAATAAAGGGGACCTGTGAGTTCCACTAACAAAGAAGGTCTTTGTCCTCTGCACAAATTTGGCCCAAATCATATCAGTAAATGCACAACCAAAATCTTGGCTAGATATCCAGTTCCTACCATGTTGCTTCTCTCGATCATTGGTGAGGGTTGAGGCGTTCCGGATATTGGGGTAGAGATTGGGGTCTTTATCTCGTCTATCATGTTAATGATCTTCTCTGGCACTTTGGTGGCATCACCACAGGTCTCCTGCCACCAGGGCAGTTTCGCATTAAGTAATTCTGCAGACTATAAATCCCAAAGAAACAAAAGTAAAGACAAACATGCATTGTTTGAAGAGCGGATGAAAATCATATCAAATAACATCAGTGATAACATAGCACTGGCTTATCTTAAGTATGGAAGCTTTGAGTTAAATTCAGTGAGTAGTTTAAGCATATGTGAGCATCTGGGGAGTCCAATTTGATGAGAAGGACATAGGCATAGCTCCCGTGCTAAATGAATGCACCCTCTCCCTCAGCCAGAATACAGAGTTAAGACTAATACAAGGACAATTAATGATTAAGGACAAGTTTAAAAAATAAAAGGCTGAGGATGGAGCAGTCTGTATTAACCCCTACTATGTTCCCAGTGGCCCCAGAAATGCCAATCATGGAGGTTCTAGGGGAAGCTGGGCTGCAGACAGAGAGAAGAGGCAAGAGTGCCAGAGCCCCAGAAACAGAGGTAGGGGGTCCCTCCCTGGCCCTCTCAAGCCTGGCTTTGCTTCTTGCGACTGGACTCTTCAAAGGTTCCCCAAAGCCCTTCAGTGAACCTCCTTTTCCAGGGTGGCAATCTGGTTGCAAAAGGAAATCAGGGGACCTTTCTCAAAGCTAGGTGCATAGCAAGCCCATTGTTTTTAGTTAGACTGTGTTTACTAGGAGTGGGCTGCAGGGTGCTGATGTAAATCATAGGGGAGGGCAAGTTCCCCTGACTGCAGCCCTGACACACTGTGGCAATGCTGCACTGTGACTACAGCTTGGCCTGCTTCTCCAAGGAACCACCGAAAGGACTGGGACTCCTTAGAAAAGGGAAGACACGAAAGTGCTTGATGTCATATGAATGGATGTTTGTGGCCTGGGGTAAAATATCCAGGCACAACCACCACACATGGACCCAGAAGTACAGCATCAGACGCGATTCAGAAGGAAGTGGACACAAGGCCCACAGGGCCCACAGTGGCCGGGAGGCGCCCACAGAGTCTAAGCAAAGCTGATTACTTGTGTGAAAATGAACAAGTGGCATTTCTCAATTATGAAGCATTATGTCAAAAGGGATTTAAGACATGGATGTATTACTAAATTAACTAAATATTATAAGCAGCAGACATCTGACCATTCCGTCTACATTCCTAAAAGTTCACATACTTAAGGTGGCCAAAAATGCTTTTCTCTAGAATCATCTCATGGCACAATAGGCCTGTTACTTTATACTGGGACACATGTGGAAGTTGAGGCATTTTAATGGCATCTAAATATGAAATAAAATTAATGTATACAACACACTTGGCCATCACACCCACCTGTAAGTGATAACGATGTATGTGATTTGCAAAACTGCAGTGTTTGTCAACCAAAAAACAGAAGCGCCTTTTTTCTTCAAGCAGAGCTTCTTTGCAACCATCTGCAATAAATTGCTGGATTTCACTCTGACGAGAAGTAACAGTTTCCACATACTAGGAAAATAAATAATAATTACACAAGTATGACATGAAGAATCAAATAGCTACACAGCCTGGCATTTATCTCCCACCATCCTTCCACTTGGTATATTTTGATAATGGAGCATGTACTAAATGTAAACAAACATCAGACAAAATAAAGCTGTAACCTGATTTGAGCAGATAAAATCATTTGGAAGTTGCCAAAGGCCTTACGTTTTCCACTGGGCAATCTGTATCAAATATTACTTTCTACTTCTGGGATGCAATCATGTTATACTGGAAAGAAAAATGAGCTTTGGAACCAGAAAGTTCCAGGTTCAAATCCTAGTGCCAAATACCAACCATTGTAACTTAACCTAAGCCTCAGTTTCGCCATCTGTAAGATGGGGATAGTGATGTTTACAATGAAGAATCCCCTCCCTGACTCAGAAGAAAATGTCAATGTTTTTAGGAAGTCACTAATTATTCTCAACTTCAGAAAGCTCTGCAGCTTTAGCCCTTATTAAATCAAATATGCTTATTTTTAACCTCAACAGTAGCACACAGTGAATGGCTGAAGTACAGGCTGCCTGAGATAAGTCAGCATCCCCTTCAGCTGTACAAACTGCCAACAATAAAACAAAACATTACTGCAAAGTTCACCTCAATTTCTTTGTGTTCATATTTGAGTGCGTTCCGTCCTCCTTGACTTTTCCTTTTGATCTTCTTCAACTCAGCTTGAGATTTCTCCAAAGAATCTAACTTGTTTCTGTGTTCTGCTCGGTATCGTTTTAGGGTTGCCTGAAAGTGAAAAGTTATGCTAAAATAACTGCAGCACCATACAAGCTGCCACGCAGGCACTTTTGCTAACACCTCCCTGTGCATGGCTGGCTGTGGCCCTGTACGCCTCACCCCCATGCTCCACTGCCTCCCAGCCTTCAAATGAACATTTGCTGCTTTGCCTGTGCTCAGACCCCGTTTACATGAGGGGGCCTTGACCGAACTGGAAGTTCTCTGAAGACAAAAACAGTATCTTCTCTTTCTTTTACTCCTTCTTTCCTCAAAGGTTTTTGGACACTGGCTGGTTGGTAAGTGCTTTGGTGAATAAACAAACCACATTAAATCACATGTTCATCAGTGTTTTGTGATTTACAATTTCAAGAAATAGAATGAACCAGTGCAACAGCTTATGGTTATTTTGGGGGCTATGTAGCAGAGCGTTTAGGAACACAGAGTCTGGAGCCGAACAGACCTGGGTGAGAACTCGTTTCACCTGTTACTACCTGGGTCTCTAAGATCCACTTTCCCCTCTAAACTGTAACATGGAGGGTAAATAAGAATGCCTACCTCAAGGAGTTTTTGTAGGGATAAAAATCAGATAACATATGTAAAGTGTGTGGTGTCAAACACACCTCAGCAGTTGTAGCTGGCCCTACGGCCTTCCTCCACAAGCACACAGAGCACACATGTGTGCAGACAGCAGCTTTGTGGAGCCCCAGCAGGGATATTTTCAGGGTAACTCTCTCCACTTAGTGCTATACAGGGGTCACAGTCGTAGTGGGAGAAGAAAGGGGACTTTGGGTGGCAAAACAAAGTAACTACTGTGTACTGGAACTGGAGGGCCAGGCTGAAGAAGATGTAGAGAAAATGTTAGATGGACAATGCTAGGGTGATTGGAGAGAGACACCAAGCAGGAGAGGTCTCTGAAAATCAGACCTGGGAGCCCCAGATGGTGTTCTCTCTCACACATCTGCTGTCCTACGTGCTGACTGGTAAAAGCAACAGCTGCATAAACACTGCCAGAGGTTGAATCACCTACAGGTCTTTCTTGAAAATTATTCTTTCCCAGGGCAGTATGATGTCTTGCAATGCTTTTTCATGCTTTTTAACAAAGACTCCAAGTGCTAGCAAAAATGAGCCCACTCTGTGCAGAGGGACCCTGTCAGTTTTATGCACCATGCAGCCATTCAACACCAAGCTCCACCAACATTTGCTGCTGTTGGATGAACACTGCAGGGAGGTTCCAGGGCCAAGAGAGCAGGCAAGTGCTGCCTCCCTGAACGCTGGGCCCTCATGGGGGCAGAGGAGAAAAACACTGTACTTACATTCATATATTTTACATCAAGTTCTGTCTTCTTCTCCAGCTCACGTATAATTTCTTTATGGAATTTTTTGAACTGTTAAGAAAAGGAAATCAAAAAGTGCACACTAAATCTGAATGTTTAAGCAAAATTAAAAAAAAAATACATTTTGTAAATATAAAAACAGTTTACATACATTTTCGTCAAGGCTGTCATTGAGTTTCTTGTGTGTATTCGAAATCTCTATGAGAACATGCCCTGTGAACAAAACCAGACATGTTACGGGGAAAAGCCATGGCATAGTTTTGTAAACATATGAAGGCTAGGAAACGAGTGAGTGGGCACAGTACAATGCTGCCCTCAGAGTGTTTGAGCCTCAGAACACTGCATCCACATGGGTGGGTTTGAGATGGACACAGTGACAGCAAACTTACTCTACAATATCGTTAACCAAAAGATGGCACGCTTGTCTTCAAATTCACATTGCTCTTTCTATACACTTAAGGACTAAGCTGAATCCTATATAAATCCATCACTGTCAAGTCGATTATGACTCATAGCGACCCTACAGGACATAGTGGAACTGCCCCATAGGGTTTCCAAGGCTGTAATCTTTATGGAAGCAGACTGCCACATCTTTCTCCTATGGTCAGTTGGTGGGTTTGAACCACTGCACCACCAGGGCTCCTTGAATCCTATATATCTGGTTTAGTTTTGAAGTTGTCTTACAATTACCTTGGTCATTACAGTAACCAATTACTATAGGATCAAATGATTTATTTTTACATAATTTCCAAAACACACTGATGATCTGTCAGGCATAAAAGTTAAAGGTTATTTTCTTTTTCTCATATTAGCTCTTGTGTCGTTCTGGAAAATATTAACGTCATGGGAAACTGTAGCACAGACAGTGCTCTGCCTGGTACCTCCTGGGACTACACCAGTTCTGAAACAAGTATGGTCATACGACAGGAGAGAATGTTCAAGGACAAAGGAATCTTCCTCCAAAAGCGGCAGTAAGAAGACCACTTGATTTGCAGAGCACACATCTTCTGCAGTTAAGCAGCAGTGTCTGTATCTCTGCGCTCTGATACAGGTGAGCAAGAACCTCTTCCCGCCAACTTATTCACAGGACTCAAATGGGTCTGATACATAAGAAATAGGAGAGATACACAGAATCATTTGAAACTACCACCACCACCAAACCAAACCAAACAACAACCAAATGTGCTGGATGGATCATCCTACAGCTCAGTAACTAGAAAATAATAAAAAGGAATTCTTTTGAACTAAAAGGCTGCAGATGAGGAAGAATTAATACAGTGGTAGAATATGGAGAAAGAGAAAAAGAACAGACTACACTATGGCCTCGGCTATCCCCTCTATACAAATGACTCTACCATGCCCTGTTCTACTATTTTAAGATATCTTACTCAAATTGCAGCCCAGTCTTTCCCCTCACCTTTAAACTCAGAAATCCAATCCCTTCTGGAACCATCCACCTGGATGTTCCATTGTTGTTGCTGTTAGCTGCCATCCACTCATGATGACTCCATGTGTGCAGAGTAGAATTAATCCACAGGGTTTTCAAGGCTGTGACCTTTCAGAAGCAGATCGCCAGGCCTGTCTTCCAAGGAGCCTCTGGGTGGGTTCAAACCATCAACTTTTTGGCTAGTAGTCAAGCGCTTAACCATTTGTGCCACCCAGGGAGCCTGGAAGTTCTATTAGGCACTTCATATTTAACATGTCTAAAACAGAATTTGCCAGCTGTCCCGGGTTCTCTAATTTCAGCTGTCGGCATTGCCAGTCAGGCAATCCTGAGGGGTCGACACCTTCCTTACGTGTCATACCCAGTGACAAAGACTCATTTCCTTGTGCATGTGGGGCCATCACTTGGGCCTCCTCGAGGGTGGATCCATGCCCCTTCCTCGTCCTGCTTCCTTTGGCACATGTGTGCTGGCCCTTTCCATGTTCTGGAATCTCTTTCCTGCTCAATAGAGAAGGCATGTGGGGATGACAGGTGAAGTGTATGTCCATCCAGCCATCTGTCCCACTACAGGTGGGAAAGGATTCTCTCTAGTCACATTCCTCCACGCAAACACATTTAAATCCTGCCAATCCGGCTTCTTAAGTTTCCCTTCATCACTATGCCTAAACCACAGTCCTGGCTCAGGCCCTTATCATTGCTCCTCAATGGGTCTCCCTGGCTCCCAGCTTGTTCTCTTCTGGCTCACCTTCTTCATGGGAGCCAGGGATCTTTCCAAAATGTAAAGGTGACACATCACTCCCCTGCTTCCCCTATGGTGCCCCAGATACTCCTCAGCAATACATTCAAAGCCCTCCATGACAAATGCTGCCTAAAACCATGGTGGGTGGTGGGGACAGACTCTCCAAGTCCCTGAGCACAGTGTGATCCCAGGAACCTCTGACAGAAGAGCTTGCTGGAGAAACGTGAGCATGAGGGCAGAGACATCCCAGCTCTCATGCTTCTATCACATCAGGTTACAAGGTGCCCATCAACATCTCTAATGATGTGGACTTCATTGACTCTGCAACTAAGTTCTCTTAAGCTCAATAAAACACAAACAAACCAGAAATCTTCACAAAAGAAACCTTCATTGACTGAGATATACTTACCTTAAGATATCATTTCAGATACTCAAATAATCTGAGTTACTTTCACATATACTTTAAACCCATCAATAGCTCCTTGTTGGAGATGAAAAACAAACAGGGGAAAAAACACTTCAGTTCCTTGAAAACCAAGCACTCTATTCCCGGCAAGTCGGATCCACTTACAAAAAAAAGTCTAAAAATAATTTTGCTTAAATCATTCAGAGTGATTCAGGCTAAAAGTAAAGCATTCACTTTTTGTGTGTTTGTATTCTCTTTTGTTATGAATTGGACTGTGTCCCCCAAAAATATATCTTACAAATCAAACAGAACAAGGGGCTACTCCATAACTGAAAGTCAGGAAAGGCGTGTGTCAGGGTTGTATCCTTCCGCCATACTTATTCAATCTGTATGCTGAGCAAATAATCCAAGAAGCTGGACTATATGAAGAACAGGGCATCAGGATTGGAGAAAGACTCATTAACAATCTGTGTTATGCAGATGACACAACCTTGCTTGCTGAAAGTGAACAGGACTTGAAGCACTTACTGATGAAGATCAAAGACCACAGCCTTCAGTATGG